AAAAAAAAAAAAAAAAAAAAGAAATAAAGAAAAAAAATATGCAATGAAAAAATGCAGTTTACTGCACAAAATATTACATGTCTATTTGTACGTGAAATTTAAATTCACGTTCATAAAATTTTTTTGTACTCAGAAAACCTGTTTTTGTACAATTTTTGACTGTTTCTTTATTTTTTATAAAAAAATAATTTATTATAATAAATAAATAAGATTTAAAAAATTTTTTGTTAAAATTATACTTGTAATTTTTTAAATTTTTAAATTTATTTTTTCGAAAACATTAAAAATAATAAGAATATATGAAATTTGTGCAATTATATTTATATTCTGAAATATAAAATTGAAAATTATAAGAAAATGCAATCTTATGTTATGATTGAAAAAAATATTATTGTTTTTAATAATTATACATATATATGTACATATATTTAATTTCATATTAGGAAAAAATAAATAATTCATTTGCATATAGTGCGAACAAAGAATTTAGATTTTTAAAACAATGATATGATAAATTTATCTATCTATAAATGAGGAAGTAAAAAGAATAAGAGTAAAACATTTTTTTGTATAATTTTATTTACATATGTTTCATAATCCATAATTTCATCAAATAAAATATTAAATTTTACAATTTTTCATAACATTTTTCAAATATAATATATAAATTCTCTCACTCGAAAATCATTTAAATGAATAATGTAAACTATTAACTAGAAAGTATTAACTATCATTCAATATTAAGCGTCATATTAGCAATCTTCATAAATATTTGACAAAATAAATACTGATAAGATATGCTAAATACTGATAAATCATTTACTTTTAGTAAAAATTATTTTTAAGTATTAAAAAATCAATGTATATTCTTAATTATATAATTGAGAGAAAAGTCTACAATAATAAATTTATAATTAAATTAATAAATCTCTCAATTGATACTAAAAATAAATAAATAAATAAATAAATAAAAATTTTAAATTAAGTTATATTTAATAGGATAATACTATTTGTGTTTTTTTGTATAATTTTATCATTAATTGAGAATATTAAAATTAAAAATTCTGAAATAGATTCAAATATTAGTTTGTTCTAGAAATATTGAGTAGAAATATATGACAAAACAGAAATATGATAAATTAAATTAAATTATTACATATTTATATTGTATTCGTAATATTTAATTTCAATCTATACAATCGATAAATTTATAAATATTATTAGTATTTCATATTTTATAATAAAACAATTTTTAAATTAATTGTTTCATTATTAGTGCCGTTAAAACTTTTAATATCCTGCTATTTCTATCTGTAGAATTAATTCACACATATATAATATTGAGTCAACAATAGTAACGAAAATAATTCACATTGCATTCAGGCACTTTGTTGTAGCCTTATGTTCATTATTAAGAGCACTGCTCTTTAAGACTTTAATAATTATTTCATACGTTCTTGTCGCTTCATAATTTTCTCTTTAGAATTTTAACATATTTATACTTTTATTTTTAAGAAACGTTACGAACGTTATGTATGATATGTTTCTTGTTCGTGTAATTTATATGTAGTTATTTTTTTTTTTTTACAATTCGCAAATGTACAATGTTTTAAACAAATATAAGATATACTATAAAGATACACACGCATAACGATGTTATACAGTTTTTTGATATAATAACTATAACCACAAAAATATATTGATAAATGTTTTAAAAACGAAAAAATGATTTTATTTTTATGTTAAATTTCTATAATTACTATATGTAATCAATTATTAGATATATATAAAAAAATAAATATAAATTTTCGAACAATAATATATACTATTTATGAGAATTTATTTTGATTTATTTAATTGATTATTATTAAATTGATTTATATTATTGTAAACATATTAAAAGCAATTTTTTAATAACAAAATATATAATTTCATATTTACGCAACTATAGTTCGTTTCTTGTCATAGTATACATATACATTATATTTTGATATCAAATTTGATATCAAAAATTATTATTTAATTAATGTTATTAATCAATTATTCATTTAAAAAAAGTAATTATAAATATGTTTATTTTAATATTTAAAAGATATAAATGATAATTGCAATCTCTCTATTTACATTTATTTATTTTTTTATTATTTACTAATATGCATTTTGTTATACTAGGTAAAATAAATTTGAATTTATTTAAAAAGGGAAAGATATTAACTTAAAAGATATTTTTTATAATAAAAAACTTGTACTCTACAGGTATTTTTAAATAATACTAACAAAATAATTTTTAATAATATTATGAGTTCTTTGAATATATAAAATTCACAAGATAATAATGAAATCTATTTTTTTAACTTATTAAACTAAATTGTCTAACTAAATTTATTTTTAGCATAAGTATTAGCACCATGAAAAAATATTATAAAGATACATAGAATATCTTTTAGTAAAATTCAGCTATAGATATTTATCTTTCACAAATTTGTATAAGAAAATAAGTTAAATTAAATTATTATTTTATTTTTAAGACACTATTCTTAGGCATTATAAGAGCTAAGTTATAATATGGCACAAATGCATAATCCTATGCATATCATCCCTAACATATAAGCTAAATCTCTTTTGATACTTGGATCTCGTTTAGTAGAACCAGGAAGATTATATATATTTTTCCATTTTACTGCCCATAATGGAATAGCAACATGGAGAATATCTGGGATCATAAATCCAAGATCACGTACAACCTATCATATAAAAATTACTAATCATTTAAAACTAATTAATACTAAGTCTGTAATCTATTATATTCTTATATTACCTGATGGGCATATCCTTCTCCTCTGACAACATTAGCAACAAATTGATCCCAACCACCCGCTACAATATGTAAAATAGCTATTGCAGCTATACCAAATGCTTTTCTATGAGTTACTGGATTTTTATTATTTGCCAAGTGAACAACCAAAAAAGTAGACATCAACTCAGTGACAGAAAAAAACAATTGATGGTACCATTGAGAATAGAACTCATCATTCCAATAATTCATATAAACCCACCAAGTATAATAATGTGAAAAAATAGCAGTTGAAAAAAGAACCATCATAGAAAGTCTAAGGCGATTATGAAAAGCCAGCCATGTTAAATGTTTCACTACTTCATAGAAAATGATAACTCCAATTACAATTGTGATCCATATTTTTAAAGTATTTGATGTAGCATTAAAATACATATGTTTATAAGAAGCAATGCCAGATTCATATGATCCTGTAATAATATATTAATTCTTTTTGAAAATCAATTAAAAGTTTAGAACTAATAGTTTAGAACTAGTTTTTTTAAAATACATCATGAAAATAAGATTGACTTACCCTTAAATACTGTGTCCCAACATGAACAAGAACAATATTGTTTATCTACATCTCTTGAATATTCTTGCCAAAAATAATACAAAAATGCAATATGTAATGGTGGTATTGTTAATGGTGCTAATATTCCTAATGTTTTAGAACTGCATGATGCAAAATTTGCATAAAGCATACGTTTTAATATCTTTGTGAAACCCATATGTGTAAATTTTTATTTACATTGAAACTCAATTATATAAAAAAATATTTATTTATAATTACCATTATTTTATTATTATTTAAATAATTTTTTTTTATGATTGATATTAAATGAATAAATTAGATAAGATTTACATTATTTAATTCAACTTTTTAAAAATTATTATAACATGAAATAATATAAAAAAATTGGCAATAATTCTTTGGTATATGTAGAAGTAAAAGAATTATATTATATCTGGCACTGTTTATTTTAATATATTTTATTAATAGAATTTTATTCTAAAATTATAAATTTCTTAATCTTTTACATAATGAAGTATGTATAAATACTTTCCTTTATCCAATTATAGGATGATTCTATAAATTGTATACATTATTTATAGATCATATGCTGCAATATTAATTTCATTCATTTATATTTATTAATTTTTCTTATAAAAGCAGCAATTAAACAAGATTAACAGTAATTAGATTAGTTATAAATAATATATTCATAATACTGTTAATTTTAATGAATATTTTTTTTTCGTTTAATAATGAAATAATTTTATAAATTGGCATAGCTTTCAGTCGATATATTTGATGTCATAATCAGTCTTGTTGGTATTAATGTAAACCACATAATATTCGAATTTTTATCACTTGTTTATAATATTATATTTTAAAATAAAATATATCATATAAATTAATTTTTGATTAGATATTTGTAGCACTTCGAACGTCGCATTTTATATTTCATAAGATTTTACCTTTATATTCACATGACACTACGTAAAAAATATCGAAATTGGCACAAATGTATTCAATGACAATTATAAAATAATGTTTCCATTCTTACTTTCTATCGGTCTTATTAGACGAGAGGGCTTTGCCCCTCCAATACTATTTTCCACGCATGTGCAAATTTTGTTCCTATAGAAACATATACTTGAAGACTTAAATAATTTCAATTTATTAGAGGTTATTAGCTTCATTGAATAATTATAATATAAATTTCAGAAATTCTTAAAACTTAAGTGCAAATTCTGAATCTGAATAGTAATTCTAAAAAGAAAAAAGACCTGGAACAAGAACATCTCAGACATAATAAGATTGTTTCTATTTTTTATTTTTTTCTAAAAAAAAGCATACTAATTTTTTTTTTAAATAAAAAACAATTTGAAATTGCTATCAAACTTATCATTTTTTTTCTTTTACAGAATTAAAGTTTTATAGTAAAGAATATTTTTTTAAAATACTTAAAAATTAATATGTTAAATCCTATTTTTTTTAAATAAATATATGTAAATATAATATATGTCAAATACTTCATCGTAATTATTTGAAATATGTTATTACAAGTCAATTTTTAATTATTTTTATTATATTTAATAAATAAATAAATGAATAATAATAAATGAAGTTATTTAACAATGCAACTAACTAAATATTAAAGCTATTTCTTGAGCGCGTAAATTTTATACAACAAATAGCATTAAAACTCAAGAAGAAGAAAAAAGATAGAGTAAAAATATAAAAGCGCTATCTGCTAAGTATCGCAAATAGCTAATAATTGAAAAAGGATAGAAATGAATAAGAATTGATTATTAACGCCATCTCTTGAGCCATCATACATCTATCAAAAATAAGATAAAGAGTAAGAATTGAGGATCAGCGCTATATTCTTGAATATTTTTAACATTCAAGAGATGTCACTAATGATCAATTTTTACCTTATCTCTATTATTTTATATTTTTCTTTTTATATTAAATTTAACATCTTATAATAAATGTATTATACAATATTTTAATTTTCGTGTTATTTATATAAATAAAGAATTGCATCACTGCAAACAATTAATAGCGTTCTATGTGTGAATCTATATGTGTTCTTTGAAATTGAGATTCTTTTGAAATTACGAAAATCATAAATTAATGCATCATCTGTTCGGATTATGTGGTTAAGTAATTTTATTTCTATTTCTATTTAATTTATAGATTAGTTTCATTTATTTAATAAATCATTAAACATCGTAATAACTTTTAATAAATTTCTTTATGTTTCTATCTTCTATTTGATTGTTGAGGTTACCGATATCTTGTATCACATTAGCTTTTCAATCAGGATTTCAATTATTGCTTTATTTAATATATAATAAATAAGTATAATTTTATATATTTATTTACTTATATTTATTTATATTTTATATATTTTTGACTTTTATCTATCTAAATTATTATTTGATTGCTGGAATGACTTCGAAATAATAATGATTTATATATGCCACGATTTTTATAATCAACGATTTTCTGTATTTTAAATATAGATAATATTTTTTTTTCACAAAAATAGACATATTTAAAATAGATTTCTATTGTCTTTTTATTGATACACAAATATATGATATGAAACTATATATAAACATATATAAATTATATATAAACATATATAGTTTCTCGTAATTAAGTTTATTTCATCAAATTACATTATTTCAATGATATGATATATGATATTTCGTTTTTAAATGCGTTAATTTATATTTTTATCTTTTTTTTGTCTGTTATTTTAAGGCTGAAAATATTTCTTATCAATGTTTTCAAGAAATTGGAAGTTTGCAGCATGTCATATTTGACATGTTTCGATTTGATGTTCTTGCTAATTTATTATTCGATAATCGAAATTATGGCGGGAGATGTCATTGTATCGATAATCATAAGTTTATGATCACGACAGTTCAGATCGTCATTTTTTCTTGAGGTATGTGCTGTGTAATATTGTACATAATAATTAAATCATAATTTATAATTTATTGTTTGTATGTTAACATTCAATCAACATGTGTTTCTTATTATAATTAAAAATCCTTTTTGACTAAATTATTCTATTATTTTATATTATTATTTTTAGAATTTTTATCTATTTTTAGTATTAATTCATTATAGTATTAATTTATTTATAAGACGGAATTGTGCTTGATTATTATTTTATATTATAATCCATTAATTCTATATTTCATATATTTATTTGAAAATTTTGATTTTTTTTTATTCAGATTATTAATTGATTGTTGGAATGATGAAAAGATTTCAATATGAACATCATAACGATTAATAACTTCAAGAAATGGTAAAATTTGACACTTTTTTTATTTCGAAATTTTTTATAATGTATTTTTAAAAAAGAGGAAAAATAATTAAATTTAATATTTTTTGTTAAAGATGACAATTTTTATAAAAACTTTTTTTTACTTTTGAAAAATATTTATGATCGCATGCAATATGATCGATAGAATCAGTATTCATTTCATAATAATATTTTTATATTTTTTCTAAATTAAACTTTTAATTAAATTTAACTATAATAATCTTTCATGATATTAAAGTTAGTTATAGTAGAGTATTTCTTCGCTGATTAAGTATATAAACAGATATATAATAGTCTTACATTTTTTTTTTGTCAATATTGATTTTTTTAGTGGGAATGTTTACAATTATGCTTCTTAAAAGAATAAGATGATCATTCATTACGGGAAGAAATAATTATTTTTATATATTTTCTATTTATTTTAATTTTTTCAAATAATTAGTATTGTATTTAAATTATAGTGTTTTAAGTTTTGTTACAGTTTCTCATACTTGATGACTATTTCGCAATGATATCCTAATATTGATGACAGCATTAACATCGTATTTATTGGTAAGTCATGCATTTATATTTTTTTGCTTACTTAATCATCATAGAAAAATCTAAATCGATACGGGTAACTTAAAATTTTGTATAAGTACAATAATCATAGGTATTTATTGTAATATTTATAAGAAATAAATTTTTTTCTTCTATGTTTTATTAATATAAGATATACGTTTTTTTTGCACATCGCGTTTTGAATTATTAAACAATATTATAATGTTTATATATAATAATAAATATTTTATGTAATTGTTGTGATCATAAACATAATATGAAAGTAATATTAAGATTCAATTCGTTTCATAAAAGATCTATTTAATATCATATTTAAAAAGACATAGATAAATATTTTAGAATCAGAGCAATAAGTTTTAACATTGTTTTCATGGTTTCGAAAATGTTTAAGAAATCACTTAAGAATCACTGAGGATTTTCCATTAATTGATTGCTTTGATTGTATTCATTTATTATAATTTCTTATTCTTTAATTTTTCATTATGAAAATTTTAGTAATTCATTAAATTTATAATTATTAAAATTTGAGATAAAATTATAATACATGAAATTAAAGAATATTAATTCGTTATAAAATATATCTAATATCTTTTTAGCTTGGGATTTTCAGGTTTGTATAATCTTATATAATCTTCCTATTAAAATCTCACTCATGTGTCCAGGTATTTTACTTGAATAAGAGAGAGGCGATAAGCATATAATTATAATTGATAAGTTTACAATAATTTCTCAGCGATTGATGATGATGTGTATCATATATAAAAAAAATATTTTTCCACATTTTATATGTATAGTTATTATGGAATTTCATTTCTATTATAAATCCAATTCATAATTATTAATTCAATTATAATTTACAAATATTAGATTCTTATTATTATTATTCTTTTTAAATTAATCTATTAAATTATTTAATATCAAATTTTATATCATTTATCTTATATATAATTTCATTTTTTAAAAATATCGTGATAACGAATTCTTGTTATCACGAATGTTGATAATTAGTTTAAATAATTTAAGACACAAACTTTTAGCATGATTCGCACAATGATCGCTAGTCATCGTTAATCGATTTCAGAAAAACGTAAACTTAGAGTGTGCAAGTAGTATGCCAAACTTTCGGCTGTCGGAGATGATCCAGCAGGTCATTCTCCCCAGTGTAGGTTTTTGCACCCAGGTGTAATGTGAGAACCATGGAGTAAATGTGTTAGTGTGTTTTTTTTGTCAGTTTTTAAATGTAGAATTAGGTAGGACAGGCAGCATACTTTCTGATATGTATGTGTGTGTTAATCATAAACAGATAGGAGCAGGTTGGCACTGCAGATAGGTGCATTTTTACGTGACAAGCTGTTTCTTCTGGAAATAAAATTCGAAGAATCGAGAGTGAAGTTCAGATGAAACTTAGACTGTCATCTGTCAAATTAGTTCCTAATTTATTTGAATTTTTGTTAAATTCATTTTAAAAGTTTAGATTATTTTAAGAGAAAGAAAGGAACATGAAAGAAAAATGATTTTGTTTTTATTATTAATAAATAAATATTTGATGCATAAATGCGGATTACTAAATAAAATGTAACCTAATTAATAACAGTTTATAGGATTTATTTTTTATTTATAAACATTATTGTTCTATGAATTTTCAAATGTTGCTAGGTATGGTCTTTCGGAAGTAGGACATAAAAATTTCTCGAATGGTGGAAGCCATTCATTGTTTGTTTTGTTACCAATTGGTTGTAACAGATTGTTCCATAGAGTATTTGCCGCTTAAAACAAAAAAAAAAAGTTGTTTTTTATAAATCTAAGTAGTTATATTTTTGTAAAATATTATTTTTTAAAATATTTTATTCCGTAAAATATTAATTAAGCATTAGTTTTTAAAATAATTTTAAAAACTAGTAAAATAGTTTAAAATAGTTTTTAAAATAAATTTAATACATAATTTTTGACATTTTTATTAAATAAATTTCTGATTGCTTCCAAATTATTTTGAAATAAAATTAATAATAATAAATTAAATTTGAAATATAGTATACGAAATTCTGTCATGTACTTACATCGTGCATTACCTATTTGACTTATATGAAAGCAATCGGCAGAAAAATATCGGTCAACTTCGGCTAATCCCTTATTATTCCGAGGCACTTTAACATTTTTAATACCTGGTAAAGATATTACGGTAAAGTCATTTGTGTGAAATTCCGGGTATTTAGAAATTTCTTCATCTATTTCTTGCCATCTAAAAAATAATCTAAAATAAAATATCGTACCAAATATTTTTCATAAACTGTTTAACTAAGAAATAATATCATGTGAAAACTAAAATAATATAAATAAAAGAAATTAAAAATAATTATTTCAAGATTATTAAAATTGGAGGAATGTTATATGCATAATTATTTAAATAATTTTTTTAAGTATTTAATGTTTAAATTTTTAAATTCGCTAAATTAAACAAACCTGTTCATTATTTTGAAATATTCCTCTCTTTGATTTTTGTATCGCAAAGAGAACAAACATGAACAAAATAAGGTTCTCATCACATAGCAAATAAGCGAGTTTGTTGCATTGCGTGTATCAACAATTTCCTTTAAGTGAGTAGGAATTATGAGACCAATAAAAGTACGTGGTAAATTGTCTCTTAATATTCGAAGAGTTTTAAGTAGATCTTTTTTATGATTTTCTAAAGTGGACCATGGAGAAGGAAGTACACATAAATCCGTACAAATGTCATTGAATCCAATGAGAATAAAAATCATCTGAAATAAATAGTAACATGATATAATGCAAACATTAATTTTAAATTTATTTTAATTTTAAATATTTATTTCATTAATCTCTGATACTTATATAATTTTCATTATTAAACTTTAATGATCGACTCTTATCCTCGTATACTTTTATAATTTTTATAAAATCTCATATAATTTTATTTATAATACGTACCTTCCAATGTTTCTCTATATCTATTCTTTTGTCATTTTTTATTCTATTGACTAAAAATTTCGCCATAAAAGGCATGTCTCTGGACATTGCACCAATCTCAGCTACATCTAATTGCGAAGCTGGATTAGCAGTTAAAGAATCTCCAAGTGAATAGCCTATTAAGTTAGGGTTAAATTCCTATAGATGAGAAAATTTATTTTATCAGAAAAATATTCTATTTTTCGTTTAATATATTTAATTATTAGATTATAATTATTTGTAATGAATGTACTTTGAGGATATTGGGGATTGTCAAATATTTTCGCCAATTTTTTTCACCTCCTATAATTGCCATCGCACCCCTATTCTCAATGTATAGATCTAGTAAATTGGTTGCAAAAATTCCCATTCCGCTCGTCAAAGAATCGCCCAACGCAGCAATAATATCTATGTCTCCTGGTCTTAAACGATGAATTGAATCAGGAATAGTAGGAGATCTAGCACCTACAAATATTAGATTTTAGAAAATTAAATTGTTATCAATAAATGGCATTCGAGAGCACGATTTTTTGAATTTTTACGATTTTATGATAATAATAATTTGTTTAATTACCTGTCAAATTGCAAGGAAATGGAACGTTTGGTGGAACTTCTTTTTGAATTTTATTTGTATTTTGTAATGCAGCTCTTTCTTCTTTACCTTTTATGTAAACAAATTATTGATCGTTTTTACTTCTACAGTTTACTTTGATTATTTCCACAAATAAATAAAAATTATCATTAATTATTAAAAAATAGAATAAACAAGAATAGAATAGCATATAATAAACAGAAATAGGTTTTAATCAATTTTTGAAATCTTCAATATAATATTTAAAAAATTTTAATTTAGTTTAAATATAGTATAATTTAGTTTTAATTTGGAAATATTGCATAAATTATTTTTTTAATTTTTTTTTTATTTTTAAATAATGCTTCATAAATATTTATTTTAATACTTTATTTCACAAATTATTACTGTGATTCATTAGAATTACACGTTACTATGCTAAATAATAAGATTAATATTTTTTTTTAATACGTACCAAATATTTGGATCCAATTACGAAATAGACGAACCACTGATCGTATATCTGGGCTGTCCAAAATAGTCCTTTGAGCCACAGTCAACACGAATAATTGTAACAAAAAGCACAAAAATAACTTCATTCTGTTTTTATTAATTTGATAATTGAAGATCGTATCGTTTATCTAATAATAACTTTGTATATTGAATGGATCCAAAAGAAGTTCTTTTCCTCCCTTTAAAAACTTGCTTCCATCCGAATAGCGGAATTACAAAACGAAAATAAAAACAACCACTTTAACTACTCGAGTAAACCAACTCGATCAGGAGTAGACAGGATTTTACAATATCATGCTACGAAGGTTCTTAGTTTGAAACTGAACACATGAGTCTGTGATTCTTTATATCTATACAACGACTTAATATACATATATATATATGTATATATTATATTGCTTACAACGAACCAACATAATACGAACAAAATATTTATAATTGCTTTCATATTATACTTGTTTATTATAATTGTAAAAATTTGTAATTATAATTCATCATTTTATGCAAATATAATTTTGGGAAATAATATTTTGTGTATATATATTATAGGTGTATAGAAATTATATTTGTAATTAATCGAGAAATAATTCATTATTATGCTGAATCAATAATTAAGATTAAATTAAAGTTTTTCTAAGACAAATCATTGATATTGCTTGATAACAAATAACTAACAACTCTATTAATGAAATAATGAAGATGTTCCTGAATTATATAAAATTCAATTGTTTAAATTAAAGAATAAATCTTAATTCATAATTTATGGATTAATTTACATTTTTTTTTCAACAGTTAAAATCAATTTTTTGAAAAGTTCTTTACGTGTATATTTTACAATTCTTTTCAAAATTAGATAGAATTAGAATTAGATATTAATATTTAATTAAATATCTGTGTTAATGAGAAAATTATTCGTTGAATAATTTTAGAGTTAATTCTCTAGATCATTGTTAAATATTTTATCGGGGATAATTTATGAATGAAATTACATTTTCATATTTTTTTTAAATATTTATTTAAAAATTGTTGTTTAATATTTATATTAATATAAGTGTGATTCAATCATATGATATTAATAGCAAATATCTCGTGTAACCTTAAGTTTGAAGGTTATAAATCAATATGATCAGATTTTTTGTTAGACTTAAGATAATTCCTTCAATAAGAATACAGTAAAAATCTATAAGATATTAGATTAGAATTGTTATATTTCAATATAATATTTTTCTTTATAGTTTTTTCTCTAAAAGATTTAATTCCATGAAAAATGTAATCTATTTATTTGCGACGATTATCCAAACATGAGTATTCCCAAGTTCATTTCTTATTAGATGTTTAAATTTTATAAGAAATGATGACGCTAATAGTAATTAATTAAATATTATAACTAATTAATTAAACAGTAATTAATTAAATATTTCTAGACTTCGAATATATATTTCTAGACTTTGAAATATAAAAATTATAATAAAATAAAATATCTTAAAATATTTTCAATAATTAAATTCATTAAATTCATTTAAATTCTTAATATAAATATATAATAATGAAATAACTACATATTTTCATATGCGAATTTTTATTTTCATATGCTATATTTAAATGAAGATAATCCTTTATATCCTCTTATGGTTAAAAGATAAATCAAACAATTTTTTTTTCATATATTTTTGTATCTAAGACAATGAAGATATTAAAATGGATATCATAAACAAATATTAAATATATTATATACATTATAACAGAATTCAATCGATCAAATAATATGATAAAATACAGAGATAATTTCTTTAATAGATCTTTGATTTCTTAAAAATGTTTTTTAAATAAAGAAGTAGAAATTAAAAATTTATAAAAACAGAACTACAATATAACAATTATGTAAGCATAATCCAGCTATTATTATTTATACAAACTATTCTTACTATTATTTATAATGAATTATTTTTCGTGCATTGAATCTCAATATCAGCATATCCATCACTATTATCAAATTGTAAGGTTTAAAATATACATTCAACTTTCAAGAATTCATCTGTAAAATAAAGATAATCATCAAACTAGGTCAAGAATAATATGTTCAAAGATCTGTCGGCTATGAAAACTTCTTTTTTTGGATAAATCTTTGTATGACGCATTCATATACTTCCACAAATATGTACAATTTTTCATAGATTAATCTATACTGGAAATATAATAAAAGATAGGTAAATGGATATGAATATAATATCATAATAATTGGAAAACGTATTGTTATATATGTTATATTTAATATTAGTATATTTATTTATATAATATTAATATATTTTATGTATCGTGTATATTGCAAATATTTTATATGCATAAATTTCAAATAAATGAATTCTAATATAATTGATGGTGGTAAAAAAAAAAAAAAAATAAAAAAAAAATTTCTCAGATGATATCATTGGTATTCATAATATTTTCATCGTCATTGATTTTAATAAGGATCCATTTAGTCAAGAAAATAATATATAAGCATAAGCATTAAGATTATGCAATTTGAATTTAAATAATAATTGTAAATTTACGCTTATTTTAATTTTATTATTTCTTTTTTTATTTATATTATTATAATAATATTATTATATTTATTATATTTATTATATTTATATTATTATATTTATATTGAATAATTAAAAATACTTTACCAAATTTAACATTATGGAAATTAGAAAAATCACGTTACAATAATATATTTTTGCTTTTCCTATATGTGTAATGAACACATAAGAGAAAAATTAATATCTCTTTTCACTTTTCCAATTTAATTTTTCCCTTTTTCTTTAATTATCAAATTTTTGCATTAATCTGATTTCCTTTATTTCATTTTGAATGAATAATTTTGAAATTATATACATAAATTATTTAATTCGTTCATTTAATTACATTACATAAATTTATTTTTATTTTCAAATATAATATAACAAATTATATGGAAACAATAATAACAATATGATTAGATATAGATTGACTGGATAGTTATTTGAGTATCTTAACACAAAGTGTTATGAAATAATTGAAGATATGTGGATTGTTCTTAGTGTACAGATTTAAATCTAATTTTGTCATAAAAAGAATCTTTAAATTTAATTTAGAGATAAAATTGTATTGAAATTAAGGATTAAAAAATTTAATAAATATGATCTTTATGTGTTTAATGATTTATTCAAGAGTTTATAAAAAGAATAATTTTTGAAGAATTTGATTAAAAAATAATAATTCTTTTATTGTAAACAATTTTTTATTCGATAGAATTCTCAAGCCTTTTATATTTTGTCAACAAGTTTTTTGATTTTCAAAAAATTGTGTATAATATTTGTGTATAATAAGTTTATAAAAATATAATACATTTGATTAATTAATTAAATTAGAAAAGAATATTAAAGAATATTAAAGAAATTGATCTTTATCAAAAAATTATTACAATGAAGTTATATTATATACAAACATTAAATGTATATAAAAAAATATGTAAAAAAGAAATTACAAACAATCAAATGCAAAAAAAAATCTTGCATTCTAATTTGCAATTATACAAGATCAGTTGATATCATGGTAAAATGTCTGATTATATTGCATTAAAACAATTTTTTATATCGGTATTATATACATCGAGATTTAATTCACAGTCATAATATCTTACAATTACTAATATTATTTATTTTTATTTAATTAATAAATATTTTTAATTTATGATATTGAATTTATAATTTTGATATAAAAATAATAAAAAAATTAAATAAGTATTCTAAAAGTTTACATAAAAATATACATCACAGCCAATATTAATAATATGATATATTCAAAGAAATTTGTAGAATATATTGAAAGAAATTTTCATTTAAATTGAATGATACTTATGATATATTTTTTTTATGTGCAATTGTACGAATAAAAAATATATCATAAATATTATTTAAAGTGCACAATTCTTCAATAATATCATTAACAATTCATTTAGAAAAATTATTACCCATTATTATTTTTTTTTTTTACTATCTTTTCTTTGCTCTTGCTCTTCATTTAAATTCTCGTTTAGCTGAATTTAATAATAACAATAATAATTAATTTTCATTTAATAGATTAATTAGGAAATATAGATATGAAATATGTACCTTAGTAATATCCGAAATGGATAATATATTAGATAGATTTTCAGAAAGATTTTCAATATTAAAATTATAGAGTTCTTCTGAATCAATTTTTAAAAGATTCGAATCAAAATCGCATTCTAAACTATCCATATCTAAAATATTTATACCATTTGTCTCTTCCACTTCACCTATTACGTAAATTATTATCTCGGAATAAGATCAAAATAACAGTATATATGTATGTATGTACATACGTATGCGCATTTATAATGAATGCAAAAATATTTAAATTACCAGCGTTTTCCAACAAATGAAATTCTTCGTAACGTGATTCTGATGTCACTTTAGTTAACTTTAAGTGTTCTTCAGATTGTATTTGTAACATGTCATGTACATATGAAAATTGTTCTTTTGGACACAAGTCGGTTGATACTTGTTGTACGTCACCGTTTGTTAATGGATATTGAGGTGATGGTCGAGGTGACTGAATAAGCGTTGGATTGTTTTCTATTGGCGATATTTCTTCCCTGTGTTAAAATTAAAATTCCTTTAGATTTATAATTATATTTTTTGATTCATTATTTTATATTTGTTGCATAATAATTATACAAAAATTTTAATTAACCTTATAGTTTGAATGCTAATTTGCGGTTGCTTAGAAATGATTTCCAAGGCGCGCAATGGAAGCAATTCTTCATTTCCGATTGAACATTCAAATGGAGTTATCACTTCTGATGATTCTGATTTAATAACGTTAAAATGATTATTGATTGTATAACAGATAGAATTTTATGACAGTATTTACAATCACGATAAAATAGATATCTATTAATGAAATAAAATAACATAAATTACTTTATTATTTATTACATTATATACATATTATTATTTTCGACAAATATTTTAGATTTTTTACAAAGTGTATTTAGCTCATTATTAGAAATTTTTACGATGGAACAATGAAATTACTTAAATCGATAAGTTATAAAATATAATACAAAAGTAAAATACTCACTTTTCTCAGTTTCCGTTTCTTTCTGTTTCAATACTGTGTTTAGATTGTTATTATTAATCTTTCGTTTCTTTCGTTTTAATGAATTAGGATTATCTATAAATGATTGTATATTAAAAACATTATCATATCATTTTTTTTTTGAAGACAAATGAACGTGCGAACTTCATTCACTATAAGGGTGTCGATAAGAAAGATAGTTTCTTCTATCTTCGGAATATTTTTTTTTACAAAGATTAATAAATAAATCTACCTGGACTGAGAGGTAACATTAGAAAAGGTAATGGTTCGCTCAATGCACCATCTGATGGTCTTTTGAGTTGAATGTGTACTGGGACTGGCTCCTCAATTTCCTGCGTGTGATAACTCGATGTTTTGAAGCGAATTGCTGTCTGCATTAATTAAATTAATTAAAGAATTATCAATTAATTTTATTTTTTATTAATTTTTATTAAATTTTTTATTAAAAGTTAAATATTACATACATACTTGTTTGTGCACATGAGCAGGGTGAAAATCACCAAATCCTTCCCAAACTACTTTCCCATTCTTCTCCTCAAAGAATCTCACTTGTATATCATCTTTTACAACCTTTTCACACAACAAAATCATGTGCATGCCACCAGCAACCGATGCGCTATAATGACTGAGCTCGCATATCATTAGATCCGGTATTATTTCTTAAATATTCAATATTGATTATTCAATTATCAAAGAATTCAATCAAAGAATTAATATCTTAAAAACTGGATATAAACGTGTAATTAAACATACTTTTATCGAATATAGGATCGGATACAATCGGTGATAATGGCACGTTGAATTTCCCTTTCTGCGATCCTTCTAAAAACACTTGGAAGCACAGCCTCACTGAATTTAGATCAACGGAATCAGGATCCCTTTTGAATTCAAAGCCAGCTAGTCAAAAAATTTTTAAATATGATTTGTTTTTATATATGTCGAGCATAATCGAACAAACAAAAAGTGGGATTTTAATTTACTTCGAAAAGGATCTACACGAATCTCCTCTCTTATTTTTAATTCTCTTTTAACGTCTTTCTTTTTAACGCACATGATACCAAGATTTGCAAATGTCACTGTCATGTCTTCTAACGGAATTTCGATTGTACAAACACCTTTTTCACATCCTTCCCTTCCAATCAGATTATGAGGATGCGGTCTGTATGGTTTGTCGTTTGTTACACACGATGCTACAGCTATAGCTCGACCTTTATATCCAATTACCTACAATCAATCTTACTTGTTGTTACTCTATATTAATTCTAATCTAAAAATTAATCCTATCACATATATTTTATTTTTCATTTCTTCATTACTTACTCTTATACTAGGACACGTTTTATTTTCTAATGTACTGCTTACACCAGGTATATTACCGGCTAATCTTCCTTCACATTCATATCGAAAACGTAAAGTTTTTGTGGGTTGCTCTATTATTTCTACATACGGTAGCGATTTTTTAAAATTCATTTTGATCTTTCTGTAATTTGCTAATTTGAATTAATATTTAATTAATATTAAATTAATAATTAAAATTCTTTCACATACCGAGACAACTCTTGGTGTAAGTGTATAAGAATCGTAAATACGATTTTTGTTTTTACTAGATTTTAATCACGTGATTTTATTTACACATGAAGCTTCGTTCGAAAATGAATTAGTCTTATACATTTTAAGTTTGTCAGTCATTTCAAAGTGACCCGTTCTAGTGTTCACAACATCGTCCTGTGTTCTAAGTTTCGATCTAGAATTTTCCATTTGAATTCTTTCATTAAAAATTTTTATTTTTCGTGTAATTTTTAATATATTTTCTGAGTGGTAACATTTTTAATAACATTTCGCGATACTATTACCAAATAGAAAAAAAATGTGTGGATAGAAAGCATAATTTTTTTAATTTTAATTCATATTTTAGAAATTTTTTTTTAGAAGTTTTTAAAACATTAGAATTTGTACAAAAATAATTTAAAACAATACAATTGATATATTTTTGTAAGTATATTTACAAAGAATCTTCTTCTGATAAGTACATTATATTATTGCTATGTTATTGAAAGCAAGAACCAGCATTTTCTAAAAATTTAGAAATCTTTTCTACATTAACTTTTTTCATTGATTGAATTGAAATTTCTAAGTCTAAAATAGCTTTAATATAATAGGGAAATAAATTTATTTTGACATTATACGATATAATTTTGAAATTTAATAAAATACTATTGTTTAAAAAAAAGGCCAATAATCTTGAAATTCTGTTAAAAATTTGAGGAAAATTTTTTAATTGTTGTATACGATTTCTTAATTCTTGTGAAATAACTAATAATTTATTTGTCTTATCATATTTAATTTGCTTAAGGACTGTCTTTAATCATCCATAATATTTAATTAATTTATGTTTTAATTTTCATCATCATTTTGTACAATTTTATATTCAAAAATTTAAATAATTATTTATTTAATGTTTTTTTATCAAAATAAAATTTCTGTGCATCTTGAAATTTTTTTAAATTTAAAAATTTTTGTTTTATAAAATTATTTTTAATTGCACCGATTATGTCGATAAATTAGTAAGTGCGCTTTCAAGTTATTTCATTACATTAATAGCATAATCTATGACATCTGTCGGAATATTTAAAACTAAATTTTTATTCTCACGATATATTCTAATTTAATCTGGTATATATTGGTCCATATCTATTATATTTTATTGGATTTTGAAATATTATTATATTATTATATATTATAATATATTATTCTGAAATATCGACTTCGAAAAATAATAGTGTTTCTTATAATCTCTAAGATTTACTATTTGTATTTGTATTATATTATATTATATTATATAAATACATACAGGGTTGTTATTAATTATCATTAACCAGGAATAATTAATATTAATTATTATTAATTAATATTATTTATTATTAATCAATTTAGTATTAATTTAATTATTTAGCATTAAGCAATAATGTTTATTAATTTAAATTTAAATTATTAAGAGGAAATATAATAAAATCGAATTATGAGATCTCTTACTTCAAATATTGAGATCTGTTTGTAAATAATTAACTGCTTTTAGTTCGACCCCTTACTTTTGTCTATCAAAGAAATTATCACAACATGAAATAACTTGAAAAAAAATAGGACATGCCTATTGTTTAGTTTTGAAAAATCAAGATATATTAAATCTAATTAGTTACTAATATTTGACATTAATAATTGTTATTATGTTATATTCATATTTTTCATATTGATTCTATGAACATTTTGTAAAATGTAAAAAAATGAAATAAAATAGTTAGTTAAAAACAGATTATTATAAAAGAGAATAATAAAATAATTGTAGTATAATATAACTAGTTCACATGGAAATTCAAAGATTTATAAAGAGTTTAATTTATTATTTTACAAATAATATTTTTTATTAAAATGTATAATATTTACATTTTTTGAGTTTTAACATATTGTGATATCTATGAATAATTAAATGATAACGAAGAGGCAATTATAATATTTTAAAGATTTTTTATTTTGAGAATATAGATAATGATGGAAATTATGAGTAAACAATTAGAGTTTTAAAAATAAAATATGTATAAAAAGTATATATTTTAAAATTAAATTATATTGATATTCAGGGCTCTTATTATAGAAGAATTAATACTTTGTTCAAATTGATTTTTCTTTCTTTTGTTAGAAAAATGTTTTACATTGACAATTTCAATAATAGCGCCTGATTTTGCCGCATATGATAATAATTATAATTTGGGGATGTCAGCCAATTTTTTAATCAATTGTGCGATAGCAAATTCCAATGATGAAATCTTCACAATCATTGCTATGCAGGATATTCATATCCATATTTATATCTGGTACTTTTTATACAGAAGGCTGTTGGATGTCCAAATTAATAGGTTCATAGAAATATTAATATTCATATCTAATGCTCCTTCTTTAAAATAATTGATACTGTGGATGTTGCAAGTGTGTCTTATTTTAATTGTTGAAGAATGTTTTTCATTAAGATTTTTCACGATGATAGTATGGATTTTAATTTGGGGATTGTCAATCGATTTTTTAATCAATTTTGAAATCACATTTCAATGATGAAAGCCTCATAATCACTGTTATACAGGATATTCATTGAAATCATATATCACATATAATAGTGGTTTTGAAGAAAAATGTTGGATATCCAAATTAGAGAATCTATAGAAATATTAATATCCATATATAATGGTCCTTTTATAGAAGAATGTCCAAATTATGCTTCTCTTTATGGAAGGATGTTTTTTATCAAGATTTTCCACGAGTGCCTGATATTTGGCACATTGATAGCGCGGATTTTAATTTGGGGATGTCAATCAATTATACGCATGATGTTCATTAATATTTTTTTTTATACAAACCATTACGATTTTATACCATGGAAATGAAAGCGTTTCTAATCTTATAGTATGATTTTTATTTGCCATTCATCGCAAATGAATAAAGCTATTTCTTTGTAGATTTGTTCTACAAAATGAAGTCGTAAAAATTAAATGTATAATTCCATGCAGTTAATAACATAAATTTGCCATGCGTTGCACGTCTTGTCCATGACACATTTCGAACAAATTGTTTAATTTTGCTAAAATCCAACCAATCTTTCTTCAGAATCTGAATATTCAATGAAATCCAAAAGTTCATATCAATTTTAATTCAGGCTATTATATAGGATGATTCATATCTCGAAGGTATCCAATGCCAATCTTCCAATCTGAATTACAATCATCTTTAAATATAGTCAAGATATCCATAAAATCTTTTATTAGAGATTAAATGTAATCAAGATATCCATAAAATCTTTTTTATTAGAGATTTTCATACGTGCAATTAAAAGATGACTTTGTACATTGTAAAAAATCGCCCTTATATGGAAAATCGCGTATTCGAGTATTTGATGGTTAAAATTTGCAATCACAAATCGTCCATATGTTACTGACTTATTCCAATGAAAATATTTCTTCATCATAAAGATTTTCATTTAATAGATAAAGTGATTATCTATTGTTTAAAACATTATTCTTATGTAGAATGAAGTCGCAAAATCTTTCCAAATCCAGTTCATGATTTAATTGTGTCATATACAGGATGACTCGTAGATTTATATTCTTACTTTGATGATCGCAATTCGTTTTTTAATAATTGATAGACTAATTAATTAACATATACTCAAACACAAAACGTTTCTTCGAGTATATTCTTCTTTTTATTTTACAATGTACAAACATTTAAACAGATAAAGTAATTATCTGTCGTTTAAAACATTATTCTTATGTAGAATGAAGTCGCAAAATCTTTGTCGAGTTCACGATTTAATTATGTCATCCATTATATTCTCCATATCACATTCTGTACAAGTTATTCAATATTTGTTGTCCAACATTTTCTCAAGAATCTAAATATTCAATAAAAAAGATTCGTGTTAATTTTAATTTAGAGTATTATACAGGATGACTCGTAGATTTATATTCTTACCTTGATGATCGCAGATCGTTTTTTAATAATTGATAGACTAATTAATTAATATATACTCAAACACAAACCGTTTTTTTGAGTATATTCTTCTTTTTATTTTACAATGTACAAACATTTTAAATGTTATTTAAGTTGATCTATTAATAGAAAATCGTCTCGTTATGATCAGGATTTTCATTTGTCATTCGTGATAGATTAGATATTCATTTTCTATATAGTAAAACATAATGTATAGAATGAAATCGTGAAAGGAAGATGGAATGGCCTTGAATTATCATTGTTCAATCCTTTGTAAAACCTGAATAAAAATATTTAATAAAATTGCGTTAATTTTACAGAATTATTATTTTACAGAATGATTTATAAATGTTCATACCTCAATGATAAAACATTCGTATGAATAAACTGCAATCATCTTTAAATGTAGTCAAGATAGTCCATGAAAATGAAATCTCTCTTTTGTACATACACAATTAGAATCATACAAAATTAAGCGATGAATCAGGATGAAGCGTGTATCTTTTGTATATTTGAGTTTGCAATTCTGTACATTTTGGGCGAGATGTTGAATTTACGCTGTCCAAATTTCTGTAGAACATTCTTATTTTTGATTCAATCAAAAGATTCGTATTAATCTTGATTTAGAATAATCTAAATAATCGATGTTTATTAATAAATTCGTAGATTCAAGATTTATAGATCCATATCTCGATAATCAAAGATATTCATTGATCTTCTAATAATTTGTAACATGGATTGTTTAATTAACATACAATCCTTGCGAATTCTTTTTTCATATCTTCTTATATAAACTGCAATTATTTTCAAATCTTTTCTGATTCACTATAAAATGTGCGAATTAAGAATTTTCTTCGCAAAATAATAATTTATCGAATAAAAAATTATTTTCGCACAAAGTCACAAGAATTAAGACTTGATTTAATTTTCGATTTAAACCAGGATATTTGATGACAACGAATGATGATAGAGTGATGGTACTGAAGATTTTGCTTGATTTCATCTTTAAACGTAGATTGATCATACTAGTATTGCAATCTTCATTTTACAACTCTTCGCGAATGAAATGGCAGTTCTCTGCAATAAAGATGTTATCACGCGATTAATTAAATAATGATGATAAAACAGAGGCAGAAACTCTTCATTTTCTTTTGCTTGAACTACAATCATTTTGAAAATGCAGGTTGATCACCATAACAATTATTCCATAAAATCATTCTTTTATCGTGGCGTGATCTTTGTTTTACACTCTTCGTGAGTGAAGTGGCAGTTCTCTGCAGTAAAAATGTGCGATTAATTAAATAATGATGATAAAACAGAGGCAGAAACTCTTCATTTTCTTTTGCTTGAACTATAATCATTTTGAAAATGCAGGTTGACCACCATAACAATTATTCCATAAAATCATTCTTTTGTCGTGGCGTAATCTTCGTTTTACACTCTTCGTGAATGAAATGGCAGTTCTCTGCAGTAAATATATGCGATTAATTAAATAATGATGATAAAACAGAGGTAGAAAATCTTCATTTTCTTTTGCTTGAATTACAATCATTTTGAAAATGTAGGTTGATTATAATAGTCATTTCTATAAAGTCATTCTTTTATGGCGTAATCTTCCTCTTACACTAGTAAGTAAAGATGTTCTTTACACACTTATCTCTAATATAATTCTTAGAGATCATTATTTTTTCTGTATTGTATTATTAGAATATTATGGCGAACGTATATCCACGACGATGGTTGCAATCCATAGCACGTTTCGTCCGTTCTGAACAAATTGATTCAACTTTTGTTTGCCAATCTTTCAGCAGAATCTATAAATTCTATAAAATCAAAAGGTTCATGTTAATTTTCATGTACGTAGGATATCATACAGGATTATTCATAAATTCCAAATTTCGTCATATGAAACTTTAATTTTCAAATTATATAAAATTGATAAAACATGTTTCTATCACAATCTGACCTGATTAATTTAAATTTCTATTTTATTATATCTGTTTTATTCAAAATATTTTTTAGAAATATTTGAAAAGTATATTTTTTAGAAATCTGCTAAATCCAAAATACACCATCATATGGATGAGATATACAATATCGTTTGTACAATGTTATGGACATTGTATCGCGAGTTTTTTTTTATATTTACAATTGAATATCGTTTACCAAACTAAGGTTACAACTAAATACTGTCTTATAATAAACAAACTCGCGGAATATCTCGATCATTGTATGAATAATGTGTCACGAAGTATCTCGATTGCAAATATCGCTTATATTAAAATCTGATTAGATTAAAAATAACTTTTTACCATACAAATTATTTAATTATACTTATAATGATTAAATATGCAAATAAGATAATCATTATCACGTAAAATATATCTATTTCTATATATATCAAAATGCAATTTTATTTCGATCTCTGTATCGATTAATTGATTTGAAAAATAAATTTTATAGCGAAAAAAAAAATAATACAATTTTATTTTGTAATCACTTTGCAATTTATTTATTTAATATTTATAGTAGTTATAAAAACTTACCTTGTAACTAAAATTTTCGTATCTATCAATGATAAAGAACTATTCGAAGAATCGATCCTGTAGGCGAAGTGTGAACGATATTGATCTTCGATATTGATTTGAAATGATTTCTTCGATGGTTGATTTGCTTCTGTTCGACACTTCGTTCAGGTTTATCTTATATTATATCAGGTTGACCTTATATTTTGTTAAAGCATGCTGATTGGTTAATTTTTCGAATATGCCAATTTAAATTACCAATGGGATTTGAAGCCTTTTCCCTTTTTACCTAGCCTTGCTCAGAAGAGGGGACCATTTTCGATAGTGGTGGGTGACCAGACAATTTCTTCAAAAATGTTCACTTTCTCTTAAACCGTTGGAATCTTTATCCTTTAAAATCTCTTATTTATGATACGTCATTAATCCAGATAGAAATTTGCACCAGGCAAAGTTTAGTTTAATCAATGAATTTCAAATCGTATGTTTTATCTCATTAATATTTAATTTATATTTTTTTAATAGCTTTTTAAATTAAAATGAACAAAAGAGAATTAATAAAAATTATTATTTCTCACAGTTACATTGTGCAAAAGAAAATTTTGAGACTTATAAAATTTCTAAACTAGATTTATGGTTTTTTTAATGCCAGAGCATTTGTTACTTTTGAGTAAAAAAATAAAGACGAATAAATTGTTATTTTTCTAGAATTAAATTTCTTGATATGTGATAGCACGTAATTTTATGTTTCCTTTCGGATTTGGATATCCTTTATTTTTATGTACATTTTTTTTCGTTTCATTCCCTTATAACAAATTATCTTAGTAAAGCTTATAAATCTTCCAATATTCATAAGATTCTTTCTTCATTGTTCTATTATAATGATATTCATTACGATCCAAGGCTCTTCAAGACCAAATCCTATAAATTTTTCCAAGGTTGACCAAACTTTTGTCCCTTTTTTTTGTCCTTTTCCTTTTCTCTATTTATGACCCTTCTTCTCCTTTCTGAAAAATTTTTCCTTTTTGAATTAATGCATCGAACGATAGAAGATAATGGAAGGGAGAACACGAATTGCTAAAAACTCTGAACAAAGAGAAATTTAAAATTCACGAATGAATAATTCAATTCTTTCTTTTTTTTTTTTTTATAAAACTTGTATTATTTAAAGTGGTAATTTGTAATAAATTTTTCGGTATATTATTTTTAAATTTTATAATATCGATCGATTAGTCAAAATTAATGAAAAATTTATAACAAAACGATTTGCATAATTTTTTATTATTTTCGATTATTTTTTACAGAGTGTAATTATTTTTAAATTTATAATTATAATTATAAAGAATTGATTAATATGATATTTAAAAATTATTTAATTATTCGGGATATAATAATTCTTGACATTTTACATTTCAGCGGAGTTCTTTATTTAGAGTTCTTTGCAATAACAATGTCTTCTAGGCGATAGATAGGTTATCGATATTTTATATTCAAACGAGAGCACAGATTTCTTTATGACATTTATATAATGATTGCTTTGCTTCAGAATTGAAATTATTTTTCAACAGACATATTAAAAATAATATGTCTGAAATGAATGATAACAATATAAAGTGTAATAACAAGAACAATATATTTTATTTATTTTATTACAAAATATTTTTTTTTGATTTAATGTCACATTTTTTATATAAATATAAAGAATAATTTAAGGAATTAAAATTTAAAATTTTAATTTAAAAATTTTTGTTTAAAGATATTTCTTGATATTTGTCTTAAACGAAATAAAAATATCTCAATCAATAGTACTTGAGCCATTGAGGAAAGACAAGTAGGTATTGTCCCGAATATGCTATTGTTGAAGGAAATCAATATTTTCTATGTATAGACGGAATATTCTGATAACTTTATTGCTTAATATATCGATTGCAAGAATAAAAATATGCATAATATTACAAATAATATAAATTCAAAAATTATATTGATTTATATTAGAAAATTTCATGTATAATTTCACGTGTATAAAAAATAATTTAAAATTTGACTTTATTCTTCAAAAATTATATCAGCTAAAAAAAATATTTAATTATTTTCTTGATATAAAATGATATAAAAATGATATGGTAAAGGAAAGATAAAAAAGAATCATCTTCTTGATCAGATATCTGTACAAGAATTTTTTCTTTTTGTTTCTCTTTCTGTTTTAATAATGAAAGATTTTACAATAGAAGATTTTAAGATAATTATGTAAATGTTAAAATAATTGAATATTTAATGAATTGGCAAAAATAATACATTCTTTGTTAATAGATATATCAATCATGTTCGTTATTCTTCGAATTCAACTTGTACGTGCGTCACTAGATTAAATGAAGCAATTGACCTTTCCATTCGAAATAGACACCAATGGTGATTACCTAATTCTTTGATATTGTTCGAAGAAGTCGTGTGAAATTCTTGTTCCATTTCGCAAGAAGTATATTGTATCTTATATACTTTCCATATTTTGAATTAAGTTTTCATATATTTTAATTTTAAAATATATGTGTATTGAATATTTTAATCTAATTTTCATTTTATATGCGCAAATTTTTTTTCCTTGATTTTTTCTTTTTTTATATATTTATTCCTGTGAATTCAAATTTATAGAATTACGCAAATATATAGAAAACCAATCTCACTTCTTTTAAGGTGAAGGTAAAACATAATTAGTAATTAAAAATTATATTTCAATATTATATTTCACAAAATTTTTAAATTTTATTATTCATTTTATTATTTCATTGTATTAAAACACTTAAGATAATATTTATATTGTATTTAACATAATTATTTTCTTATAACATAATAATTGATTTGTTTTTATTCAGTATTCATACTAATAAATTTTATAACAATTTACATCATTCACGTGCAAAAAAAATCTAATCATTTACACAATCTAGGGTTGAAATTATTAATCCATCATAAATAAACAAGTAACAAATTTTTAACAAAATTTTCAATAATTTTTCGGATCTAAATTTTCTGTATTTTTAAAAATTCTATAATTATTATTTATTCTGCAATTCATTATAGATAAACTTTAGACGATTAATCCTGAAATAAGTAAAAAAGTTTGATAAAATAAAACAATTTGAAGAATTTTTTATGTCAATTATTTCCCTAATTTAATCTAGCAAATTTGATATATCGTTTTCGTGTCATAATGTTAATGAAGAATGATTTTTCTATTTTTATATCATATTGATTGATCATTTGCACTTTAGTCGTTTGCACTGATTGAATTTTGTTAGCAACTTATTTAATTATTAATATAAGAACACACAGAATAGACATTCCTTTTATATATTAAATTATCATATATGATTGTTTTTTTTTTACAAAGTAATACGTCATTTGTAATAATAAATTGGTTCTTTTTTTACACATTAATATGCAATTTATCTATCAATGATAATAATCTATAATTATCAAAAAAAAAGAATTCGAAATATTCAGATCAGAAATTAGAGAAATTAATTTTATTTAATTTTTATTTAAGAAAGTTGGTTTTTTTATTTAAAAATTTATTTTGAAATTCTTTATTTCTTCATTCTAAATTTTAGTATTATATTTTAGTTATTGAAGTATTATTGATGTTTATTATTTTTGCAAAACAATGATACAAATTCAAATTTTAAACAATTAAAATATAAAATGATTATGTATAATTATTGTATAATAATTTGTTTTTTTTTAATATATGTAACATGATTATAATACGATATATTTTAATCGTTGAAAATTGGATTTGTATCATTGTTTTGCAAAATAATAAATTATACCGAACAAAAACAAACATTATTGTCTTTCAAAACATTTTCTTTTCCGACGATCGAAACTGTTAAAGGAATATTCCTACAAAAATCACTTAGTATAAAAAAAAAAAATTATGTTGCATAAATAATGCGATCTTTGTAGAATGCTAATGAGGGATGTAGTATATGCGTCATTATTAACACACACATGGACCTTTTTTTTTTTCTCGATTTCTACGATTTCTGTATCCCGTAAAGGCTATCAATAATTAACAGGCTAATCTACATTTAAAAACAATTAAACATTGAAAGTTACTTATGGATAAATCTCTCCTTATTCTCTAGGTATTCCTCCACTTTGATTCTTTGTCTTCCTTTTCTTAGCGCCTTTTCGAGGGACAGAATACGCTCTGTTTGAAATACGTCAATTAATAATCAATGCACGCACTGAAATCGCAAATGAAGAGACGTATTACGATAAGATAATTAGACACAATGGAGGGTAGTCATCTCATAGTATTCTGAAATAAAGTGTTAGTCATATCGAAGATATGCGAAATACTCTTCAATATCGTACTCGATATTACGTGAATTAATTTTTGACATGGTCTACATTTCTATCTCCGAGCTAACTTGTAACAGTTCACAAATTATGTTTCCTAGGCAATGTGGATACTTTGTTCCGTGAACTTTTCGTTGGTATATGTGTAGCTTTGGTATTCACGATTGGGATTGGGAAATTTTCAGGCGGCAAAATATTTATTACTCGTTAACGTTTACAACTATCAGCAAATTAATATTCACTGATCAATTTACTATACACGATTTTTATTTTCCAAAATATGTTGCAATATTTAAAGTTGTACACGTTTATCTTTACGCATGAAAAGTTTTATATTAATCCTTCAGTTTTACATTGATGAAAGTATATCCATTTCTTATATTTCTCTTATTGATAAAAATCGACATAAAAATATTCAAATATAGGAATTCAAAGCCGTTTTAGTATACTTTTACAGAATTATATAGAAATCGGGACATTCGATATAAATTAATATAAAGTTAATTAAAGTAAGAAAAAAATATTAAAAAAAATAAAAATAATAGAATATTTATTGAAACTTTTGAATTTTTAAATATTTTTACACGTTGCTTTCTTTCAAAAAAATAAAAATCCATTTATTTGAAGAGAATATTATTTCTTTTCTTGAGCATTAAAAAAAAAAAGAAAAAAAAAAAAAAGAAAGATCATTTCATTGATAAATGATTTACATATCTAGTCAATCATTTACGTTTACGAAATATTTGATGGTGACAGTGACCTAGAATACCCTTGAATTTAAGGTTATTCATTGAATCTCTTGATGAACGTGAATGTATTATATATATTGACACGTGTATGCACTTTCACTTCTTATTGAATGTGGGCTGATCAAATGATCGAGTCGAAAAAATTTCTAGGACATTCACGCACGCATCCGAATTTATATATATATATATATGTATATATATATATTTTTTTAATATTTCTTGTATATTTTTTCAGGAACCATTTTATTCACTTATTTCATAACAATGATATACACTTACTCGATGTATATCTGTATAAATATATATAATATATTTTCATTGAGAATATTTGACTTAACATAGTACATTTCTTATAATAATATTCTTTGCAAATATTTTTCGAATATTTTATCCCTATACTTTCTATATCTCTTCTATATTCCTTCCTGTACTTTCATTTTTTCAATCGTTGGCCTAATTTTAAGATTTGAAATAGTTTTAAAAAAATATTATTATATTGGAAAAAGAAATATGCCAAAGAAATATTCAATTATTCCTGTTTTTATTTCGTCTCCACTTTTCAAGGGCCATAACTGGTTCGAATTAAGTATCAATGACCTCGATGGTCCTTGAAAGGACATTCACGATAGATCGTGATGCATATTAAACGTATGCGTATTGTACAAGAATTTTTTAACTTTGAATTTATCGGAATTTATTGTGTTAATTTATATTACAAATGGCAATTAAAATTTAAAATTTAAAAGTATGCAAACTTTTGACAAATACATTACGATTATTAATTATATAAATATTTTGATTATTCGTGAAGACTCACGATGAGATTTTAATTTTTATTAACATTTAATATATAGAATTTATAGCAGATTTCTAATTTTGAAAATCGATAATAATCG